CAACCCTACTTTCCCCTCAGTGCCTGTTGGTAGGCAACTAAGCTTGGTCCTGTCACCTACTTTGGCCTTTGGGAGAAAACACATTGGAACACATTGGGGCCAGTCCTGATAGGGTTGCCAACTCCAGATGGGAAATTCCTGGAGATTTGAGGGATGGAGCCTGAAGAGAGCGAGGTTTGAGGAGGGGTGGGACCTCAGACAGGTACAATGCCATAGACTCCACCCTCCAAACCAGTCAGTCCCTCATGGGGAACCATTGTTGCCAATCTCCAGGTGAGGGCTGGAGACCACTCAGAATTACAACTGCTCTGCAGAAAGGAGGGCAGAAGTCAGCTGAAGTCAAAGGGGCAGATAATGGTAGGTTGATGGTTAGCTGAGAAGGAGATGGGGTTGCCAACTCCAGGCTGGCAAATTCCTGGGAATTTGAGGGGTGGAGCCTGGAGAGGTGGGACCTCAGACAGGTACACTGCCATAGACTCCACCCTCCAAACCAGCCATTTCGTCCTGGGTAACAATTGTTGCCAATCTCCAGGTGAGGGCTACAGATCACTCAAAATTACAACTGCTCTTCAGGTAGCAGAGATCAGTTCCTCTGGAGAAAACAGTGGACTCTGTCATTATACCCTGCTGAGGTCACCACAGCAAATTTACACTGTTTGGACACTGTTTGCCTAAAGCCAGAGCACTCCCCCAGAGCCTCTTTCTAGATTTCGTTGTATTTATTTCCACACGGGCTTTATTCCTAGTGGGAAACAATAAGGGAAGAGAGGCTGGTGAAGGAAGGCTAAGTAGGGGAATTTATGTTCAGTCTAGTTACACATGCTTTCCTCTTCCTGTTTCTTCTTGTATGATTTTTTCACAACCTGCAATGTTAGTATAATAACTCCTGGCTTTGTTAATGGCCCTGTTATTGATTAATTGGTTTTTTATGTTTATTGATTGTATTACTGTGCTAATTGTTACTGTAGAACGAGATCAGGAGCAAAGACACTGGGATTGTGGGCTTTTGAACTCCTAAAGGTCAGAGCACAAAAACTCATCTTAAAAGCCATTAAAACCAGAATAAAACCATATTGTTTAAAAATGTAAACCCATTTAAAATTAGCAATTTCGAATTTTGTGTTTTTCATTCTTCCTAAAATGCATTTGTGTTTGTTTTTGTGTTGAAAATTGGGGGGCGCCTTGGGGGGGGGGGGGCACCAGAAGGTAGCCTCGCCTAGTGTGCAAAAAAACCTTGAGCCGGCCCTGGCCCTCTGACACCAAGTGCTTTTAGAAAGTAGGCAGGTCAGGTGGCCGTGGGGATTTTCCCAGGAAGGCCGCTGGAGATTTGATTGACTTCGACGATTTTAAAAAACGTTGCTGTGGCAGCAGCTGCCACCATAGCCCTAGGATCTTCACTGTGTGCCTAGAGTTGCCAGGTGAGGCTAGGGCTGCCAAGTGGGGGCGGGGGGTGGGGAAACCCCCGCTTTGGAGGCGGTGGGGGAGCCGGAGATC